AAACTAGTAACTCATTACAACTTCCAACTTAGTTACTGTCACAGATTAACATTAATCAACAACAAAGTCCAGTTGTCACTACTCTAAGGGAATGAGGTGGACTACTCAAACCCTGACATTACCCTGGGGATTATTCTGCCCCATATATAGGTAAGTCGCTAGTTAAAGATTCATCCGCACGGGTGGTCGCCCTTCTCTCTGAGGATATCGGCGAACAATGTTGTCAACGGGCGGCTCCCCAGCAACAGGAATGGAAACTGGTATGGGAGGTGCTGACAGTTCAGTATCGGGAACAGCCACAGGAGTGGGACTGGACTGGGTCTGTCCCCAAGCAGACGGTGTAGGGCTGGCATGTTTGTATAGTTCAGTATCACCTTCAGGGGGGTCCACAGGCGTCCTAGGTCCATGCAGTAACTGATCCGTATGTCTGCGCCAGACAACATTTTCAGGGGTCTCAACTGTGTAAGACACAGGACCGGTCTGTGCTATGACCTTAGCAGGAACCCACTTCTGTTTGCCATGGTAGTTTCGTGCTAACACCTGGTCTCCAGGATGAAAGATCCTCTCTCTTGCCCGTAGGCTATGTCTCTCAACCTGTGCTCGTTGTTTTTGCAAAACAATGTCTTTGGTCTGGGGTGGTTTCAGTAAATCAAAAAAGGTGCGCAACTTCCTTTTTATGAATAGTTCAGAAGGAGCGACCTTGGTAGTGGAGTGTGGGACATTCCTGTATGACAGCAGAAAGTTATTCAGTCTCTGGTGGAGTGAACCTTGTTCCACTGATGCCTTCAAGGCCTGTTTCATACTCTGGATGAACCTCTCAGCTAGTCCGTTAGTGGATGGATGATACGGAGCCGAGCGAATGTGTTGTATTCCATTTACATCCAGAAATTTCTCAAACTCCGGTGCAGTGAACTGGGGGCCATTGTCACTCACCAGTTGTTCAGGGAACCCAAATCGGCTGAACATTTCCCCAAGTCTCTCAACTGTTTTCTCAGTTGTGGTGGATCTCATAATGCACACTTCCGGCCATTTACTATGTGCATCCACAGCTACCAGAAACATCCTATCCTCAAATGGGCCGGCAAAATCAATATGAACACGTTTCCACGGTTCCTCCGGCCACTCCCACGGGTGAAGTGGAGCAGGCTGTGGCATGTTGCGGAATTTCTGGCATGAAGGGCAGGTCCTTGCAGTTTCTTCAATTTGCTTGTTAAGTCCTGGCCACCAGAAGTAACTTCTGGCAAGCTCTTTCATGCGGACCATCCCACAGTGTCCATGATGTAGTTGCTGCAACACCCTGTTCTGTAGAGTGGGTGGAACAAGTACCCTTTGTCCCCACAGAAGACATCCTGCCCGCACTGATAGCTCATACAGGTTTCTGTTGTATGGCTGAAACTCCGGGAGCCTGGTACTTCCACCATTAGTGACTACATCCATCAGCTTAGAAAGTACAGGGTCATTTCTGGTGTGCCGACTCACTTGCGAAGATGTGATTGGTGCACCCTCTACCTGTCAAAAGTAGAAAATCTCAGCCGGGCGTGGTTCCACATGATCCACTGGGAGGGGCAACCGAGAGAGACCATCAGCATTTCCGTGTAGTTCTGACTTCCGATATCTAATCTCATATGTGTGAGCAGACAGCAGTAAGGCCCACCTTTGCATCCTACTTGCAGCCAGGGGAGGGATGCCAGTATGGGGACCCAATATTGTTGTGAGAGGGCGGTGATCTGTTAAGAGAATGAACTTCCTTCCAAACAGATACTGATGAAACTTTCGAATGCCAAAAATGATCCCCAAAGCTTCCTTTTCAATCTGTGCGTACTTGCTCTCCACCTTGCTGAGTGTGCGCGAGGCAAAAGCAATTGGTCTTTCATCACCGTTGCTGAACAACATGTACGGAATTCCTAGGTTTTAGTCTGTTTTTAAACCTGCTTTTATCGTTCCTCTGGGTTTTGTCACCCTGTTTAGTTTTGTCACCCCGTTTGGTTTTGCAGGCCCGTTCAATGTGTCCCTGTTTCCCACACTTCCTACATTCTAGATCTTTACTCCAGCATTCTGTGGCAAGGTGTCCTGGTTTGTCACATCTATAGCATTTGTTTTGTATCCCCTTTTCAGTTGAGACTTTGTGCAGTTTCCCACTAGTGCTGAGCTGATGAGCTTCCTTTGCGGCTAACTCCATGGAAACACTTATCTCAATGGCTTTCTCCAAGGTTAGTGCACTTTCAGTTAGCAGGCGTTTCTGGATAGCCTCGCTCCTCAACCCACACACTAGTCTATCTCTAATAGTGTCCTTCAACACCTCATTAAATTCACAATATTCCGCTAACTTCTTTAATGCTGCTACAAAGACTGTCACAGATTCCCCTTCCTCCT